ATGCACTAGCTTGTAATTTAGTGCTTGTCGTCTGTTGCTGTACATGTACATCATATTTGCTTTTCGTTTATTGTCTTGCACATTAATCAGTATTCTCGTTTGAATTATTTCATATTTTGTCTTTTCGGAACAGTGTATAGCTTACTTCGCAGTATGTGTTTGTGTATTGTTGACGGCCGTACGGTGACCTTTAAATGTTTACATCTATGTCATGTTGTCTCTAGTTGAGAGTTGTATCATTGGTAATGATTCCACATAATCTAATTTTTTATTTTTTAAGGAAAGAACACACAAGATTGAATTTTCTTTTCAGCAAGGGGCACTATTCCATATACCGCAACAGGTATTATTGCTGTAATAATTCCGAGGAAAAAAGTGATGAATGCATAGGTAAGAAATGGTATAATGTAGCACTTCTTAAATGTATTTGAGGTATATGTCAAAATGACAGCTTCAAATGAATATAGGTGTAATGAGAGTAGACGACAAATATATGGAATGATAATCATAATTCGTTCAAATAAATTAAAAAAAAAACACACACACACAAGGTAAATAACGGCCAGATGCTCCTGACTTGGGACTGGCGCAAAGATGAAGCGGGGTTTAACATGTTTTGTGAGATCTCAACCCTCCACTTATACCTCTAGCCAATGTAGAATAAAGAAACACACAGCAATACGCATAGTAAAACTATTTGTACATATTGCACGTAACTATCAATTTCGATCCAAATGACTGAAGTTGTCTGGACAAAAACAATGCAATCATATAGAGAAATTTAAAAGGCTTCTTAAATGTATGAATGCGCAAATCAATCCACAACTCCATATGCAGGTAATGTTTCCTGTCAGCTCTCATACCAAAAGTACTTATTTGCATATTATAGTTATATACATAATATGAATACAACTTTTGATAATATCTATTTTGAAAAATATGGAGATATGTCTAATCTTCAGTATTTCTTTAATTCATAGAGATTTTAAGTCAGAAAGCTGCAAAAATTCTTCTTTGTGAAATAAATAACATGAAATTTAATGAACAGAATTTTGCACCAATGTTAGTTTCTTTGGGTATAAAAGCAACATTGTTTTAGCCATTTTTAGGTGTAATACCACTATTGATTTCCCCTATTAGTCTTTGTTAAATTTGTACTTTTAAAAAAAATTGCGCAGCATTTATCTTTGTTACAAATATAAAAAAAATCTTAGCATGAGTAAAGTTTTATCCTGTCCAGTACTTTAGAAAATATTTCACGTAACATTTCATTGCATATAAAAAAAAAAAATAACCATCACTGGAAGTTAACCAATCAAATGTTTACCTCTTTTTACCTGTGTGCAAGCTTTAGTAACCATGCAACCTCAAGTTTCCAAAATATTCTATAGAAACACAAAATAAAAATGTAATGGTGAATAGAAACACCTAAGATATATGTTTATGACCCAGAAATATTTTACTGCAATGAAATGTAAGATTAATTTCCTACAACTGTCAAATCCGACCCTTGTTCGTAGTCAACCGGATGTGACGATCTATGGTTTGGTGGTATTACACCTCTATGCAAGTACATGTAAATTAATATAAAAACACTATCTATCAACGAAATAATTGTTGTTTGATAAAACTTTCCATAACAAAGATTTTCTGTTTATACAAGGAAAATCAAAAGCCGATAACTGGGTCCTCGGAACAGGATTTCTTTTGCATTTATCCATTTAAAATGTATCAACACTGCAGTGATTATTTATTAATCGGGAAATTAAGCAATACGATGTAACTCTATAGAATCGTTTATCTTTTCGTAGAATGTAAAACAGGTTTTTTATCAGGACATGGAGAACCATGTAAGCACTGTCCAACTGGTAGTTTTGGTAGGAAATGTTCTGTATATTGCAAGTCTAAAATGTATGAAAGGTTTGTAATTAATAATTTTGTGAATGTATTTGTTGAAACTATGATAAATACATTAGTGCCATTGGCTAAGACAACAGTATTCACTAATATCAAACACAACGCCATCATTTGGAACTTGTTTTATGTTGTTTTGCCTATAACATGTATAATGCTTGCTGATTCTTGTGTTTACTTTTGTGTTCAATTATAATGAAAGGACGAACGTGCACAGTAAAATCTTTCTTGCACAATGTATAGTTAAGTCAATTATATCTGTGACGACGACGAGGGGAGATTTTAACGACCTTTTCTACTCATGAAAGACTCGTATGGTTGAATATGTCTTTGTCAATATTACAAGTGACTTTTATTTAATTCTTTTTCGTTCAGTTGCTGTCTAATGGACACTGACGTCTACTCTAAATGCCACATGTGAGTGTGAGAAGAAAAATGCGATTACTTTAGTGCAAAAAAAAAAAAAAAAAAAAAAAAAACCCAACAACATGGCATTTGAATAAATTAAACAAATTAAATTTTGCATGAATTAATAATTTTACCTTGAAGTCTCAAATGAATTCGGTTTTGTTTGGTTAATTGGTACAGTACAAATTGAAATCCAGTATTCATTAAGTACAAATCGGAACTTCAATATCTACTAGCAGAAACTAGAGTTCTGATTTTATACTCATCAAAATTTAGTACAAATGATCAGAAGTCCAATATCCACGGGTAGAAAATTCAATCGGCGAATCATCTATACACAAAGAAAAGAATTGTTTTTCTTTATAATGAAATAAGCTTTTATAATAACACTTGTAATATAAAGTACTTTAAGGTTTGATTAACTATTTAGTGTACATGTATTACAGAACGCAACTTTTTAAGACATTCTTAACCAAAATCAAAATTGTATTTGAAGTATTCAGATTAAGAATAGTTCATTTATGTTAATGATGTCTTTCTTACAAAATTTTACAAAACCATGTATCAAAATTAATAGTCAAGACAACTTTGTTATTTATGCAGAACTATGTTCATATTGTTAAGTCAAAATAGATTCGTATCAGAATATAATAAATTAAATTATGGAAAATATAATTATAACTGAAAAGAATTTCACGAAGGTTTATATATTTTACCATATTTTGTTTGCAACAAGGTATTGAAAGTTGCGTTATTCACTAATCAAAATGTTTTTTTTGGGGTTATTTTTCATGGTAAAAATAATAAGAGGTAATCTAAAAAATCCAGTAGAATCCATAATAATACTATCTATATTTCAATAATATCATGTATTCTACTTTAAATACAGAATCATCACATTACAAGTCTGAGTATCCCAGTTTTGCTAGACACTATTGGAGTTCTGATTTAAACTGCTTCGCCCTTGATAACGTACATTTTTATTTGGTTAACATCCGTGTTTGTAAACATAAAATAGGGTTGACGGCTTTCGATAAATATAGAACACACTTTCTTCAAAAGCGATAAAAAGTAACACCTGTTAAAATGTGGTTTACATGTGAGAAAATATTATATGTTTCAGTTAACGTATGGTGATGCATTCCTGTAAACATGAATGACCAAACAGAGAAAATCGTGACAAAAATAAAAGATCACACAGAAAAAGTCGTGACAACAATTCAAAATGGTACACACAAAGATGCGGTTGAAGGTAAATACAATATCTAGCACACTGTAACTAAGTCCATATCCTGGGGGTACTTAAATATCAAAATATGTCTATTTAACTGTATCGAAATATGCATTAGCAATGTTTTCTGGACTTATCTGAAATCCAAACACTCCTTAAGAAAATGCAGTTATTCATACCACATGAATGACTCAAAATAAATGAAAAGACTTGCATTATATTTATTCGTTTGATTTCAAATTTACTAGCAGACAACGGATTAGATAAAAAATTGAGATAGTTTTGACCGTCATTAAACAGAATATAGCATTCAGGAATGAATATTTGTTCATATACTATCTGGACTTAGTTTTTGATTCAGAGTGACTTTAAATCAAAGTCTTCATGTATCAGTCCAATTTCTCATATTGAATGCATGATAGTCAAAATAAGAAAAAAAGATATTGTTATACTTTAGATGTTTTTTTTTAATTTCATAATCTACGGAATACTGAAGTCCATTACCCAATTTTAAAAGTTGTAAAGGGCAAACCTAAACAATTGCCCTTTCAGAACTTGATGCTTATTCTATAGTGACCCTTGAACCATTTAAACGCCGTGTTTATTCATACAAACAATTGGCCTCTGTTGACCTATTTTTAAAGTACTGAGATTATTGTTTGACTGACGCTTACATTGAATATTAAAACTGTTTTGTTTTCATGCGGTGTTGAAACACTATTTTACATGGACTGTTCTCTGAAAATCTCGTATTGATATTCAATTTGTCAGATCTTTATTATTTCCAGGATAATTGCCTATCTTATTCCTCTGTGTTCTAAGCATCATTGAATGTAACAATCTACCACACTTAAATACCACAGCAAAATTATATCAACCCTTTTTATAACGTGATGATGTTCTCGTTTTATACTGACACGATTATGCGTTATACGAGTAATTCCAAAGAGAGAAATGTTGTTACCATAACTGACCAAAATTTTCTAACAAGTTCCTTGCTAAGCGAATAAGTTAATGATTCACAACTTCATACAACGTCAGTTCATGAGTACTATTTTTTCTACTTGTCATATTTCAAAAAAATGAATGACACCAAAACATCCAATTATAGTTCTTGTAAAACTTCATTTCTGGTTTATGTCTTTGTTTCAGACAAAGTGAACAATGTTTTTCTGTATACTGTGTGCACTGGATCACTGGCACTTATTATGGTATTGGCTTCGTCTACATTGATATATTATAGGAGAGAAATAAGCAAAGGAAATAACTCACAAAAGGATATACACGGCGGGCACAATCAAGGAAGATCAACACATATTATAATTGTTTAAAAATCTGTAATCGCAACGTAAAGGTTGCATACAAACTTGAATTGTGTAGTTCGAAACAGCATGTTTATACTTGTTTATTTTTGGATAAGTTCCAATAAATTCATTAAAGAGATAACTCCAACTTTTTAATGTTTTATTATTCAAAACAGAAAACACTTTTTATTGACAAGTAACGTTATAGTACAACTAGAATACCAGTATCAATTCTAAAAAATACGCCGAAATATGCGTTCCTGGTGATGGTTAATTTAGAAAGATCATCGGACGCACATAATGTATAATGTCTTATCTTAATTCTCTTAGTATAACCAAGTCTATGCAATGCAAAATATAACTTATGAGAGGTAGTCGACCCATTCGTGTTCTTAGCTGCTGAGGAATGCACATAGAGTTATGATTTAATATATCCGTTACCAAACCAATGTAAGTGACGACGAATATTTATTATTAAAAACCAAACTACAATCTTTTATTGATAACCTCTAAGATTATACATTGAATCAATTAGTTTAAAAGAATTGTATCTGAGTTCACGACTCTATAACATTATGCTATTACTTTTGTGATAATATATTTCTGCAGGAACTATTAAACTAATTAGTTTATTTAAAAACCGTAAAGAATCATCACAATCCGAAAAGGAAATAATAACAATAACATACATAATCGTCTCTTTCATCGTTCATGCCTGAAAATAGTTTCTTTTATAAAACTGAAATAACTGATTTAAAAAAAGGAGATTTATTGCAGTATATATTAGATTTTGTGAAAGTACATTTACAATTGTCGAGAGCTAGATGATTGAAAGCAAAAAAATCAACAACTTAATTGTACTAGTTGTTAACTTTGTCAATTAAATGAATAAGAAAGTTTTTACTGATTTTGACTGACTCATAATAAAACAGCTTTCAAAGAGAGACATTTTATTAATTTTTTCTAAACTATTTTTTCAGTCTTGAATGTGTAGCAAACCATAACTTATTTTTGAAATAATTGTAGTAATAAACACAATACAGGTACATGTATGACTAACATTTACATATATAAAAAAATAATAACATATCTCAATAAATCAAAGGTGTTTATAGATAAAAAAGAATACATTTGTTATGCCAACTATTTGAGAACATGATACAGCGTATTGTTTATTAATTATTAAATTTCACATTTAAACAATACATGTTTGAGTACTAAAATATATCAATAAACTATAAAAAAACAAAAAACAAAAAGAAACAACACAATTGTTTATTACTTCACAGGCAAAATACAATTGTTTACGTTTCCTATAAGGTGTTTAACGAGTACATAGCGGCCACAAAAGCGGTTTAGCCAAAACATATTTTATTTCGTCCGTTTTAAGTCAGTTTTACTTGGCGGCATATTCAACGTCCATTTACAACAGTACTTGAACAATTGGTTATTTACACAGCACATGATTAGGTAACTGCACACATACATTTAAACTAAAAAAAAAGATAAACAAGTTATTCTTTTTGCTGATAGTAAATCAAAAAGAGCACTCATATAACACGAAGGAAAATGATAGCTATACTTTAAATGTTAAAAACAAAATGAAACATCGCATTTTAAATTTCATGCGTTTAAACCACTTTTTTGGATTTACTTTAATCAGGAACACCCAAAAAGGAAAGGTTAGGATGTATAAAAACCGAAAATATTGAAGAGTTCTACAACCAAAAGGACCTCAAACACTTGTCAATTAGTTTAAATTTATAAATTCATAAACGGAAAAATAAGAAAGGTTTGTTCTAGGTCATATCAGTACCGTGGTATTGACTACTGAGCTGATGGAACGATCTTTTGAATGTCGATTGTCGGTATAATTTGCCTCTCTTTAACAGTACCCATTCAAAACATAACCCTAATACATTTTTGACAAATAATTAAAAATTAACGAGTAATTGAATAGAATGACATACTATTTATACTGACCATTTCCTCATTTTTCTGACTTCCGCCATTTGTTATCCTTTTTTTATCTGAAGAAGAAATTAAAATTATAATCAATTGCAGTAAAGCATAGATACATACTGACCGACTTAAAGAAGTGAAACACTTGTTAGTTGTGTCTGCTAATTAATTTATATTCAAGATATATATTCAAGTTAATGGGATCACAAATATGAAGCCTCATAGACGACTTTTAGCGAAAATATCACAAAATATGCTCTCTATATATATAACATCAATCCTTGCGTTTTGATGTATAGTTGTCTCAGTTGGAAACAACTGTGACGGTCTGACTCTTCTGTTCATTGTTCTTAGTTAGGTTATGGTAATAACATAAAATGGGACAATGAATATATCCCATATTAATAAAGAACAGCATATACAATTTTTACCACTCTTTGTTCTTCAATAGGAGATGGCTTTCAGGGATATTGTGATCAGGTATGTTCAATCAGTGATTCCAATCAGATGTGAATTCTTACACATTCTAAAGATCAATCATTATTACATATCTTATACAAATAACATGTTATTTGCATTACGACATTTTCATACCATATATTTCTCAAGTTCGTAGTGAAAATATAAAAACATACAAGACTAACAAAGGCCAAGATCGAGATTTAAAATTATTCAGAAGTTCTTAAAGTTTTTTAAGAATCCACATATGATTAATACCACTACGCGAGTAAACAGTTGCGTAGTATTCTGAAGACCCTCTTTCACTGAGGACAAAATTTTGGCAATCTCATGGAAACTTTATTAGTCGAACATGCAGATGAGCCGGCAATGTACCGTTGTTTTTACAATAATTGTGAAGTTTAGGAATACAATACAAACAAGGTAAGTCCTCCGATTTGTTGTTCAATGAATGTTCATTTACATGTAAGCCATGAAGGATAAAATGTCTGCATATTGATTTATATTTCCAAATGAAGTCATTGTACCGATGATACAATTTAATCGATGTTTTAACTAGTTTGTGATATCAAAAACTCTGGTGTACTAAGCTTTCAGTAATACAGACGTTTGTTTCTGCGTTAAAATCTAATACGTTGTTTCATACACGAGCAAATCGAACAAGTTGAGATATATAAACACCATAAGATGGTGACAAGGGAACAACACCATCTAAAAATGGAACATTTATAGTAGAAAATTCGAAATCATCTCTTTTTTTCATGAATTGTGGTATTAAGCTTCCCTTTAAAGATATAGATATCAAGATCAAGGACAGGCGGTGTTCATTGTTAGTATTAGTTTTATTTAAAGTCAGTTCAGCAGGATAACTGTCTTAAGTGTACATACTGAAGTCGTCATTACTGAGAGCAAATATATCATCCAAATATCTAGAAGTGTTTTTTACATTTTTGTATCATATATTGTTTTGATGGGTCTTTGTTAATTTTGGTCATAAATTATAACTCATAACAAAACAGAACAAGGTCTCAATAAGTGGTGCACAGTTATTCTGCATTGGAATTCCGATAACTTGACGAAGCAATATTCATAGCGAACAAAAAATTTACGTAGTAAAAATTCAAGGGCAGTTATAGTATCAAAGCAGGTCCAATTGCATGTGGCTCATAAATATGTACTAGTTCAATGAAAATATACTAAACACAAAAACATATAAATGAACTAAAAGTAAAAAAAAAACAAAACATACAAGACTACATACTAGGCTTAAGGCGAAAGGATGCGGTAGGTTCAAACATGTTTTGTGAGATCTCCACCCTCTCCCCTATACATGTACCTCTAGCCAATGTAGAATAAATAAACACACAGCATACGCACAGTGAAACTCAATTTAAAAAAAAGGCCGAGTCAACTGTCAATACATGTAACAAAAGAAATTAAGCAAAATGACAATGATAAATAAATTAACAAGCGACTACTAGCAGTTACTGACAAACCAGTTACAGACATCATCTATACTGATTGAAATATTGTGTCTTCATGATATGTCAGCATGCAATTTATCAAGTACTTCCAACGAATTTTTGACACTCAAAAAGTTTAATTCCCCTATTTTCATTGGCCTCATTTAAGCAGTTTATTACCAGGTTTTTGATTGTACCAAGTGAACTAGTAAGTAGAATAGACACTTTAGTTTATTAATGGCTTGAAGACAAAGTAATCTATATTTGTAAGGTGTTTTATGCAGCTTCGGAAGCCAGTACATAGTGTATGCCAATTACTGAAACACTTACTATAAAACAGATGACCCATTTAACGTTTAGCATGCTGCGTGTTTCAGTGTACACGTGATAATATCTTAAATATAAAAAAGATGCCTAGTCCATTGGAGATTTTACGAAATAAACAAATACGGTTTAACAAATGAAGCATCAGTTAGTCAAATGCAATTATCTTGTTATCACAGACAAACAGATTAATGCGAGTATATGTCGATGAGAGAACACCCAATCTACACAAACAAACAATAAATACTTAATAAATATCCCGTAACAGTTGATTAGTTAAATATACATTTTGTCAAATCTATATGTCTTATATTTTCTTGCCGATTAGAATTAAAATATCTATCGTATGAGACCTACCGAAAGACAGAGTATGCCTAAAAAAACAGCAGAAAAAGGAGGCATTCAAGTACACTTTATATATACCTCTATGTTTTTATGATGTACAAATAAAATTTTCTGAGAACTCCCTTCTAAGATGGAGAATGTAAATTCATTTCGGGTCATCTTCGTGGTCAGTGTTTGAGGAAATCGATTTTTATATTTTGAAAAAGCAATGTCTACGGTTGGTAATTTAAAAACAAAGTATTAAAGCCCCACAACTAAATTGTTGGATAAAACAATTGTATACAACGTAGGACAATAGAAAAACGCGACAGCCTTGGTATCATTCAACATCTTTCATATATTGCCATTCCAATTAATCTAACAATTGATTGGGGTTGATATCTAACTATATGCCACATTTGCTTATCCACATCTTCAAAATCTCGTTATTGGTTGTTTTGTTTTGATATCTTAATATTTTTGAAATGAGGTAAAATTGAATTAACCTAAACGATAGATTCGTGATAGTCTGTACTTAATATATTCACATGCCTTCACGACATGGGGATTCGTATTTGCTATAATAAATAACCACTTGTATACAATTGATTGAAAATGTATTGATTACTATCAGCTATATATAGTTGACCTGTACATGTGTTTTGGTTTTCCCCGTTTTTTACTTTGTGACGTAAAACTTATACCTGAAATGGTCATATTAAAGTGCCTTATTGAAATACATACCAAATAGGATTCCAACTACAAACATCAATACTATGATCAATGCATTCTGTTCTTTCTGTCGTTGACATATATCTAAAGAAATACAGTTATATGTACAGACACCATAATGTAAGAGTACAAAATCACTAGAATATGTATAGAGAAATAACACAACTTTACAAAAAAAAAAAAAAAAAAAAACAGCTTTGTTCGAGGCAAGGTCCTGTTTCCTTTCCGCTTTCTTTTTGAACGTTTTTTGTAGGGTTATAAGATAGGAATATAATTCACATTATATTAGTTTTCACAAACATGAAATATTTACTTTTTCTTTCATAAAACTTTATTGACAATGTATTTTGCATGAAATAATAAGCAGGGGGACGAAATAACATGTTAAAACATGTGGGTGCTGAATCTTTATGTTAAGTTTTTGCATTCTCAATTTTATTTAATTCTTTGTCAATGAGGATTTCTTTTCTTGCCTGCGACTTTTGTCGCAGTAAAAAAAAAGTCACAGTATATAAAACAGAGGTACTACTATCTTGTGGCGTAAACTATGATTAAAGCTTTATATTTCAGAAGGTAGAAGACCTTGATGCCTCATATCATTTATGCAGATACCATATGTTATGAAGTTTCCGTCTGCCATATGTCAAAAAATAAGTATGTCTGAAACTGTCAAAATGAATTTAAGACTCCCTTAATATAGAATTGGCAATATTTTGAGTTAGACCTGGAAGATTGTTCTATCATTTTGATATTATTTGTCCCAATAGTAGTACACTACACTATAAAAATCTTTTAGAGCAGATTTTTCTATTTTGAATTTATTGTCTAATAGAAATGCACTTCGAAATAGCTGTGTTCTCGGGTCAAGCGTTAACATGAAATTGTTTCCTTAAGAACAAACAAAAGGGGAAACAGCAAAGGAAAAATTGTTCAAATGCATGCCATTGGAAACTGATTGAACCTTATTAGTTTTATTTTGGTTTAAATATCCGTTGCGATTGAAGAGGACTTTCAATGTGAATATGCACAACAAGAACAGGTGAATCTATAAATAAAGATATGGTAAGCTCTATCAACTGTTCGTTGTTAATGTGTTATAGCCTTTTGTGTACCTTTACTTCCAGGTTTGCCTATTTGAACCTGGACATGTAATTCCTCCAAATGTGTCGGTCTAAACCTTTCACATTTGAATATTAGAAATATTGAAATCTTACCTTCGTCAGATTTATTGATAACGTAATTCTTTTTGGTTTTAGTTGACTTCGATTCATTTATCAATGGACACTCGAACATGTTAAAGTGTGCTGTAATGTTATCTGGATGCATGCAAACATAATCTAAAACAACAAAAAACTACAATAATATTATTGATACACATTTTCATAATAAAATTCGTTCATTTGTGCACAATAAAAAAAAATGTAAGCTTGACTGTCATGTGCATAATCTTTAGTATGTCAATAATTTGTGCAATGCGTCGATTTCTGTAATGCACTCCGGCTCAACTAAAATGGTTCCCATGATTTACTAGCATGAAAGAAAATGTATTCGAAAAACAAATGAATTAAATCAATGTAATTTAGTATTAACAAAACATTGTATCAATATATGACACAATATACATTTGACACATTTGTTTTTAATAAGGCGTTAGTTAATTTCTTTTCGATTAGTAACTTAAAATCGATTAACAAATTTTGCATCAATCATTTACATTAATTAAACAATCATATTGCCCTTTACGTTTTTACCATGACTAGCAACATAAAACTGACAAAGAAACCTATGGCATTTAGAACAACGTATTTAGCAAAAAAGTATGTATACAATAACAATTTTCTTGTGAATATTTTCAGTTATTACTCGCTGAATTTTCGTCAGAAAAATGATAATAAAAAAAAGATGTAACTACATGTAATGCAATTTAACGTATTGACCATAATCATAATAATTTCTTATTCTAAAATCTCTAGAAATTCTATTTCATTTCTATTTCAATCTAATTAACTAGATTTTAAAGCCGTAGGTCATAGGTGGGTCCATATGACAATAACTAAAACTGATCAGTCAAATGTCTTTTAACATGTTTAGTGATATCTAAAATACTGCAATGTTGATATTTTACGTATCATTATCAATAAATAATCTTTATTATCTATTTTTAGAAAACAAGCTACATTGTATGTCTTATATTTATATTAATTTTATAATTAGTGTATTAAAAAATTTTGACTGCTGTTACTTGATCTTTATTTTTTAATTTAATCATGTATATTTATGGGTCAGGACGATCCCGACCTGTGTACAACATTGCTAGATATGTAGCATTCGGGTACAGGCATTGTTATTAGCCTGTACACATTAAATATAATTGGCAGTACTTTCCACCAATTGCTTCAAATCTAAAAACATGTGCTCATTATACATACAGATAATTTAACCGCCACAGTTTCAGAACACCATAATTGTTTGATTCGTATATAAATGAAAAAAAAAGTCTGATTTATCTTTACCTGGTGTAAGTACTTGATCTTTACCACAATCGTTATAATAACAAGAACAATCTTCTTCATAAGGCACACATACACATGGTTTATTTGGCTGTGATACGAAACTATAACCAAATCTGTAATCACAACGACAAGTTATATCTGATGTCGTCGGCCATCTGTCAGTGCTTTCAATCTGACCTTCTTCGTTGCAAACAGATTTGAGAAAAACACACGAGTCTCCATTAACAGAACTGTATTTGAACGGCTGGTAATGGTTCTTATCACACGGTACACCATCGAAACTTCCTCTTACAACAGTCTTTAAACCTTAAAAATTATTAACTGTTATGTATATATAAAGACGATACAATAACAAATAAAACATATTTTAGTGTAGGAATCAACAGTTAGTATACGGTCATGTATTATATTTCCATAGAAAAACAAATATGTTATCGAGATAACAATCTTAAAAATACATTAACACTTTTTTATCGAATGTATGTAATTATGCAAACGATACTGTGTTTTAAATATATTATCTGAAATCTTAATGCACATGTACAATATTTATCAAATACAGAAAAAATACTATATGGAAAGTTAGGTTTAATGTTTTAAATGTAAAATATCAAATATGGAGATGCTGCCAATGACACAACTAATCAAAAGAGTACGAATTTAAAGGAAAACTGCAGGAAATAGTGCGGACTTAAACAACGATAATAAGCAATACATACACTCAGATATAAAAAGCTTCGAAATGATAAAAAAAAAAATATGAAACAAGCCAAACAAATAAAAACAAAACGGCCTGATATATGACAAAACAAAAAACGACAAGCTGCTTTGACAAACAACAACCAGTGTCTGGACACTTCGCACTCGCCATTAAACTGGACAGTGATTTCAAAGCATAGCAAAGAACCCAAAAAGCTCTAAAGATCCTGTGTCTCTCCGCTATGCCTTTCTGTATTTTCATCAATGGACACTGTAGGCGGACAGAATAAAACATTTTGTAAGCCTTGTATTACTATTACATTTGTTTCTATTTACAATTTCTGTCTATTTTCTTTGGCTTTTTGTTCAAAACACAAAAACAGGTGAAACTCGTCATGTAACTGCAATTACTGACCTATAATGAGACAACTGACAATTTCATCTTTGATGACATACAAATAGAGGTTGTCTTGTTGGTATTTTTGCTTTCTAAAGTCTTTTTAAAGATAATAGGCAAAACACACAAATTTGAAAGATATTGTTTTAAATAGCAATTTGTCCAAATTATAATCGACTGACGATTTTTGCCTTGTTGGTTTATTTGCAGTTCATGATGTATTGATCGTTATTGCAATGTATTCCGATTGCAATCTGTAACATTAGTTGTATTCTTTAAATCAGTTTTCAAAATAATAGACAAAACTTGCATTTTATTATCATAATTTATTCAATGCCACGTCGACTATATTATATGGTACGGTGGGTTGTCGGACAATTTTTTTTAAACTCAAAACCCATTGATTATTTCGGCCAAGTATGGTTAAATTCTGTACAGTAGTATTTTTGTAAAAGTAAACGAACGATGATCATGACGATGAATGTCTACCGACGATTGATACCAAGTGATGCCAATAGGTCACAATGGTCATTGGCGCAAAGTGAGCTAGAATATGTCTGAAATAGCTCGACTCACATGGTACCGAATTTTAATTCATAGCCAATATCAACAAATAATAAACAAATCATGATCTCTAAGACAAAAGCTTATATTATCCGCTCCCTGTTCCAAAAGTTAGTGTACGCAAGTTTAAGAAAAAAGGATAACACTCAAACCATGAAAAGAAATTTAGTTACATAACTTACATTCTAACATTTTGTCAGTAAACTGTTGAGTTAAGAAGCACATTCTTACTTAATAACAAAAACATTAACGTTTGAGTACATTAATCAAGGGGAAGTCTATAGATCCTGACACAAACGAACGCTCCTCTACATTAACCAACATACAAAAACAAATATAGCTTCTCCTTTTGAAAAGAGAATTTCAAATGTATAGTATGTATTTTAATTGTTTTCATTTACATTAAATATTTTCAAAGCATTACGTTAAAGTTACACGTACCTTCTTGTTGAATTTCGTCTGTTTTGTTGCAAAATTCTGTATACGTTTGTTTATTCATATCATAGAAACACATATACTTTGATGAGTTTTTACAGATCTCCGCTCTTAATGTCATCTGAGAAACGTCTTTAGGACAAAGAAATTCAAAACTAGAACAATGTGAAAACAGTAAACTTATTGACATCTGAAATGAAACATGTATTCTAGTTATTTTTTGTGGTTTTGATCGTCAGCATAATTGATGTATGTTACTTACTTTCGACAAGATTTACTTTAATATGAACCAACGAAAATGTTGAGACTTTTTTTCAACAAACGTCGTGTATTCAAAAACTAAAGGTCAACATATAAGCAAAACCAATAACGAATAGTTTGGTAGTAAATTATTATCGGATGTAAACAAAGTACAAACGAGAAAGACCTGAGTTTTGTTAAAATATGTAACACAAACAAATATGACAAACATTAGCCGATTAAAATAACTAAGAAATACCGGAACTCAAAGGTAAATTCAAAAAGGGGATACATATATCCATACAAACTGACAAAATCAAATGTTATCAGAACGAGTGAAAATTCCTGTCATATAGATGACTTGGGAGAGGCATTTACTTTTGAAAACAGTGAGTAAACCTGTTTTTTTTTATCTATTTAAACGGTATTAAATACAAATTGGTAAGCAATTTAAACAGATATATTAAGAAAATGTTTCAATAATTGGGATATAGTAGCCACAATTGTGTAAACATACATCGCAAATGGCTGATAAAATCAGACAAACATACAAAAAAGACGCAAACAAAAAAGGTGTCGTAGTATAAGTAAATTTGACACATATGGCAACATAATTGTAGTTTATTGTATATTGACAAGGGCGCTGATAAAACCATTTTTTGTAGTTCTCGCATGCAAATCGCTCTTCAGGACCCAGCTGCATCAATCACGTCCTCATTGTAAAACCCCGAAATGTCGATTTACCTCAAAAGAAACCAAAAAACCACGAAGACAAACTAAGGGAAACTGTAAAGCAAATAAAGTGACACATAATTTTAGCACACAAGATCTATAACTTTTGGCCATTAGGTAGTTGTTGAGCATTAGCCACTAAATATATACCTATCATGTCTTGCTACTTTCTGATATGTATTTGGAAAAAAAGGACGAGACGTTCATTGGTAAAACCCTGTCTGATTAATGTTTTGTTTAGACACCGTTGACGTTTTAAAAAGTGAGAGTTACAGCTGTAAGCTCTTGAATATCTTATGAGTTGCGAATGTTATACTCCATATGTAAGTGATGTTGATATATTGCTACTAAGGTGAGGAAATTTTCAATTTCAAAATTGAAATCGAAGGTCTTCGATTTTTGTACTGACAGTTGTTGTTCGAGGTCAATGTTTAGAATTGAAGCGACGGAAACTGAATCAACGTGTAAAATTTTTAATATATACATCTTAAATATATACATTTTTAATATATACATGACGACTTCAGTATGTATACTAAAGAAATTTATCCTGTTGAACTTACTTTAAATAAAGCTATTACTAACAATTACCACTGCCCTTTCCTCGCTCTTGATATCTATATCATTAACGGAAAGCTTAATACTAAAATATATGATAAAAGAGATGATTTTTCATTTCCTATCGTTAATTATCCATTTTTAGATGGTGACGTTCCCTTGTCACCATCTTACGGTGTTTATATATCTCAACTTGTACGATTCGCTCGTGTATGTAACAATGTTTTAGATTTTAACGAAAGAAATTTATGTATTACTGAAAAATTATTACACCAGGGTTTTCGATATCACAAACTAGTCAAAACATTTACTAAATTTTATCATCGGTATAAGGACACCATTCGTAAATATAGCTCAACATGCAGACTTCTTATACGTTCAGGTATTTCACATCCAATTTTTTATGGAAATATTCTTTATAAAGCACAAAAATGTCAGTATTCACCTCTGAAGCTAACAAAACCTTTAAATAGACTTATTAAGAAGGGATATAGTTACGATACTGTTGTCAGGTCATTAAAGATTGCATATTTTGGCGTTAATATTGATTCACTTATAGGGTCTTTGCATCGGCACTTAACACATTTATTTAAAAACCAGTTGTTGGCATGACACGGGTTATGTTCTTCTCATATATGTTATGATGGTATGATACTAAACCCCTAACGGGAAGGATTGTGCCTGATATTCATATGATGAAGACATAATCGTTCAATCAGTTTAATTGAAGTCTGGAGCTGGCATGTCAGTTAACTGCTAGTAGTCTGTTGTTATTTATGTATTATTGTTATTTTGTTTATTTTCTTTGGTTACATCTTCTGACATCAGACTCGGACTTCTCTTGAACTGAATTTTAATATGCGTATTGTTATGCGTTTACTTTTCTACATTGGCTAGAGGTATAGGGGGAGGGTTGAGATCTCATAAACATGTTTTACCCCGCCGCATTGTTGCGCCTGTCCCAAGTCAGGAGCCTCTAGCCTTTGTAAGTCTTGTATTATTTTTAATTTTAGTTTCTTGTGTACAATTTGGAGTTTAGTATGGCGTTCATTATCACTGAACTAGTATATATATTTGTTTAGGGGCCAGCTGAAGGACGCCTCCGGGTGCGGGAATTTCTCGCTGCATTGAAGACCTGTTGGTGACCTTCTGCTGTTGTCTGTTCTATGGTCGGGTTGTTGTCTCTTTGACACATTCCCCATTTCCATTCTCAATTTTATGTATATAATAAAACCGAGGAAATTAGTCAAACGTCGTCTGTACGGTCAATAATGCGTTAGGGAGTTCTCTGCCATATACAAATATTTGTGATCTTGCATAAATGTGTAGCTTATTATTTTGCTAAAAACTGTTTGGACCATTCTAATATAGTTTTTGATTAAATAGGAAAACACATCGGCATAAGCTAAAAGTCGTATAAGGGTCTTATCCCTTTAAGAGTAACTTGGTTACTTTGGTGCAAACAGATTGTAGATTGTGAAAACGTAAGTAGTTTAGCGCCAGTCTATATCATTTTTATAAACTCTAAGATATGCATGTAAAACAATTGAGAATGGAAATGGAAAATGTGTCAAAGAGACAACAACTTGACCAAAGAACTAGTACATAGAACTAGTACATGCATCATTATCAACAAACAATTCAGATCTTTGCAATTACGCCAACAAAAGACAAGCTTTTACAGCGATTCATATTGCCATACAAAAGCAGTGATCAGGCATTATTTTGATCGTAAAGAGAAAAGATTGACCAAAAGTTTTATTTCCAATTCATAACTATAAAATCTCTTCTAAATCATTTTAAATGTTACAACATCTGCAAAATTTGAGATAATGACACTTTTCCTATTTTATCAAAACAAGTTGCTCTTTTTAGAACTAGAGAAACGAATAACATATTTATTTTTTCATCTATGTAAACAGGAGTTTTCATCTCAGATGTAAGAAGATTAATCTGATACATAGTATAAACCAAATACTAGTGTTTAAGTCAGTGTTTTTTAAACTTATACCAATTTTAACCTTAACTTTTTCTTAATATATCTTTAATTCATGAACATAATTTCTATTTTTATCTTCTTATTGAAGGATGACGCAAAGTAGATTGGAGACTTCATACGTTATTCCAACACTTTTAAATTGAGAATGGAAATGTGAAATATGTCAATGAGACAACAACCCGACCAAAGAGCAGACAACAGCCGAAGGCCACCAATGGCAGCGAGAAAATCCCTAACCCGGAGATGGTCCTCATCTGGCCCCTAAACAAATTATGTACTAGTTCAGTGAAAATCGATGTCACACTAAACTCCAAAACATATAAATGAACTAAAAATGGGGAAAAAAAACATGCAAGACTTACAAAGGCCAGAGGCTCCTGACTTGGGACAGGCACAAAAAAGCGGCGGGGTTAAACATGTTTTGTGAGATCTCAATCCTCCCCCTTTACCTCAAACCAATGTAAAATAAAACAAAACACTTTGTTTTCATGTCATTGACTAACAATAACAATTATTAAATCAATGTATATATCGAAAACGATCATTTAAACTGTTAAGTCATAATAGTGACTAATATATCCATGAAAAGTGACTAAACACTAAATAAAACTTCGTAAACATAATGATAAAATAGATTGACTTTAAAATCTCTATTTTTCTTATCAGTTTCACGTCTAACATACATATAAGTTTAAACATGTGAATCTCATACATCAATGTGATGGGATAACTACATAATTCATTGTTAATCTTGTTCATTGATTAAAATCATGATGAAAATACCTAAATATAAATAAGAAGATGTGATTTGATTGCTAATGAGACAACTCTCCACAAGAGAATAAATGACACAGAAATTAACAACTATAGGTCACAATACGGTCTTCAACAATGAACAAAGCCCATAGCGCATAATCAGTTATAAAACGCCCCGAAATGACACATGTAAAACAATTACGCATATTTTTATACTAAGTTAACTCATCTAATTAATCTGTTCACGCAAAGATTTTTAAAGAAAATATCCTAAGTAAGGAGGACATTACTAATTGAAATAATATAAAAAGAAATAAAATATATTATGGAGCAAGTAAAAAAAGATTGTAAGGAAAACAGCACCAAAACAAGTGTATGAATTATCGCAAATAAAGACTTTGAACACTTTATTGAAAATATAAACGACCTTATATTAGCAAGATAATTAACATTAACAGATAACGCATAATTCCGCCACTCCACCAACAAGGAGAAAAATAGAAAATAAAACTGGAGGAAATTACGATTGGTATCTTTGGTTATCATTCATAACATGTACCACAACACTATCAAACTCCGAATGGAATATCAAAATATTGAATTTAAAAACAAATTTAAAAATGAAGTTTAGCTGATTAATTACTTTTAATTAATTGATTTTGTTTTGAAAGATGTGGAAAGGGGGAGGGGTGAATATTAGGGGAATACTATAGGAACTTTTAATTTCCTCAATATTTTACTAACCCTTGATAACACTTAAATCACATTGTGTTGGATTTAATCAAACACGTCTCGGTGTAACAAAAATCAGTTTTGAAATCGTTTGATATCATGTGTTTTTTGGACGGCCTTATCATTATTCAAAGAGATTTGTTTTTACAGACATTTTTACTCATTGTAACGTACGTCAAAATCTTGAGCTCATAGGTGTGTAATACATATATTCAAAGGAAAACTGCAATCATTTTTAAATTAAAAGAACAGTTGAGATAACACAATTAATTTGAACAATCAATGAAATGACGGATATATATATTTTTTAAGTTGTCAAGATCAATTCAAACAAATATCTTTTATATTAGTTTGAATTATTTTTTTTTATTATACTTACTCCGAAGACGAAGGTTTCCATCTTTTCCAAATTAATTATTTACCTTCGCCCGTCACATCATATTATATCTCGAATAATGAAAACAACATTGTAGCTATGATATAGACAATAGACTGATTTAAAAATTCCTGCCTGAAATAAATTAGGGAAAAATCATGACTAAAATTAGAAATAGTGTCAGGGGTCATTTAAGACCCTCTTCCATCGTATTGTAAAAATGTATGTAAATTCCATGTGTAGTACTCAAAGTGCAATCTCACACAACAACGTGTTTGAAAAAAAGGTTCATGAACTAGTAAACAACAAAATAAAACATCACTGTTTACTTAAAATACATTACTTTTAAATCATCTATTTCATATAGTTTGTAATAAACAAAGGCTAATGACATATTGTATTTAAATAACTTGAATATTTTCCCGTCCAAATTAATCACCAGATGAAAATAGAAAACAAAAATAGACCAATAAAGAAAAAAGAACAATATGATGTGTACAAAGTAAAAAGCACGGGAGTATAGAAACTATGATTTTTATGATTTTTCTTAATTGACAAGTGTATTCATCAAATTATTATAACAGTGTACATATAGACGGTTCGAAATCATTGATTGTTTTAATATATATATTATATTTTAATGTATATTGCTGGAAATTTAAGAATGATTGTTATTGGCCTTTCATCAAATGACAAACATTTCAAGCATACGCAAGACGAGGACAAATATAATGTATGTCAAAAGAGATGAATGGCAGCCACTTAAAGTACGTAAATTATGTTAGGAGAATACATGTTTCAGCCTGGGCTTGCATAATGCCTGCTAAATTATGATGCTTTCTTGTTAGTGTTCTTTACGTGCACAGAGAGTTGTACTCACCAAAAACGGTTCATCGAATGATATGTCCCAATATTTACTGACATGGCTGCGTATATATATAGTCCACATAGCCAACTGCTCATCTTTCTTTAGCAAGTGTTTTACAGCCAGACCAGAAGAAGTCCAGCTGAACATATGTCTACAAGAACATCCCAGTCAATCACCGAACATAAATTATAAGGACATGTATTATGTTTCCATGTATGAGTTGTATTTACCCTTAAGTATTAAAATACCTTGATTAAGTAGTTGAAATGAAACTCATATAAATGGACTTTCCCAAATTACAAATAGAACAAAAGCACGAGCAACCCAAAATTAAATTATTTGGTGACATATAAAGACAGAAATCAATACAAAGAAATTTATTTCGACAACCATTATTACAAATCATGACTGAAATTAATCTTATTTGTTTGTTTTTTTATAATTAACCAGCCATATTTATTGGTGTATTCAGGATGGATGTAAATTGAGGTTTAGACTAATCAAAGCCGAGAATTAGTGTTCTTACTACATATATTGGTAGTTTTACTGCCGCCCTTCCTGGTTAAGCATGTCATTTCCGGTGGGCACTTTTGTCCCGTTTTGGAAACCCATGATCCGCCACTGTGATTTTATGAATATTGAATTTCATTGTATGATTATTATGGACGGATAATTTATGGACGGATAATTAGGGTCCCGCCGAATGGCGGACGCCCTATAGTGATCAGTCTGTCCGTCCGTCCGTCCGTCTGTCCGTCCGTCTGTCCGTCCGACTGTCCGTCCGACCGTCCGTCTTATATCTGTTTTTTTCACAAAGTCTAGATTAAGGCCCACTTTATCCTAAAAAGAGACAATTTAAAACATATGGTAATAACGAAAAGAGTAGGGATGGACTTATAGTTGGAAAGACGATATGGATTATATAATTTCATATATTGACGGAAGAAAATAAACACAAATAAAAAGTAAAAACAAATCCTCAAAACCAAAAGAAAAAACTGGTCAACGATTTGAAAAATCTAATAAAAAAAAAAAAAAAAAAAAAAAATGGATAGACAATTTGAATCGTAAAGAGAGACATTTTGCTTTAACAAACTATATGTATTTGACATTTTGCTTTTAGTATGTTCTTCTCCTTTGTGGTTGTAGCCTGTTGTATATTTCCCTCATGAGGAGATATTTCTTTGATCACACTGAATAAATGAAACGAAAAAAGGCGTTAAGTTGGTCATGTAGGTTGGCTTGTACTGCATTGTGTACCGACGTATAGATATTTCAATTGGGTATTCGCTAGGTCAATGATAACTTGCAAAGTTTAGATCGAACTCGTTTTATTGCCGTGACAACGGAGATTTATGATGTCATCAATAGAAATTGTGTGTCTTAGGAGATAACTGGGGTTCTATAAAGAAACAGACTAATCCATTAGTTGTAAAGAGACTATATTTTTATACTTTAATGGTGTTAACTATTTAAGCTAGTTCACAACTTAGTTTAGGGGCTAGCTGAAGTCCCTGATGAAGGATTTTCTCGCTGTGTTGAAGACCCATTGGTGGTCTTAGACTGTGTTATGACTGTTTATTTTGTTCACACATTGTTGTCAATATAAAGGAATTTGATGCGAATGTCATACAAGTGAGAGGTTTAGCTAGCTATAAAATCAGGTTTAATCCACCATGTTCTACATAAGACAATTCCTTTACCATGTCTGGAATATGACAGTTGTTATCCATTCGTTTGATGTGTTTGAGCTTTTAATTTTGCAATTTGATTAGGGACTTTTCGTTTTGAGTTTTCCTTGGAGTTCAGTATTTATGTGATATTACTTTCTACTTATTGGTCGTTGTATTTTTTATTTTTACACAACCCCCATGTCTATTCTCAATTTTATTTATCATTTATTTCTCATCATGTGATATCAGTTTGATCATTACAAAAATATCTTAAAATTAACTGCGGTTTTCAAACAAGAGTATCACTCTCTGAATATTCAAAGAAAATTAAAGAAATAAATAAAATAAATAATTATTTTTAGTCGTATCTAAAAAAAAGAAATTGTCAAAGGTGAAATCACAAAACAAAAATCAGTAAAAGATCAGTAGTTATCAATTACATTTTTCAGTCAAAACCAATATTATGATTATTTCCTTGGAAATTATATAAATCCTTTTCAGCCAATAGTAAAATTTAAGTACATGAGTTTCTGTAAATTTAGGAAACGGAAACACAGTAAAAAAACCAAAATGTTCCCTCTAAACAAAATTAATATAAAGTTCAAAATATTACGCTTAATACATAGATAATAACATGTCAACAAAGTACAGCAAGTTTTCCACATGAGACGTCTAAACACGTACTATATTCATGATATATGTAAATATATGTAAAGATTACACTACGTACGCTGGTTATTCCTGTGTCTAAAAATAACACAGGGTTTTTCTATACTAATCACCGATGATTCAAACATGTAAACAACAATAAAATAAAAATACAAACAATTAATTATGTTTTAACTTCTACGATCAGTAAATATGTTTTGAGGCATCTTATATACATATTGTTGACATTTTTCATTCAAATATTGATACTCTATGCCAGAATTATTTGTAGAGTCAAAATAAGATAATTCACTTGCTAATACCAAATAAATCTAAATTTGTTCTATCTTATTAAAACTTTTCATAACTACTTTCATTCTGAGGGGTATGAATTCAAGACACATTATTCACACCCTGGGGTATTTCAATACATCAACCAAAGTAGGAGGGGTCTTCGTAGCATATATAGGGCTCTGTGGCATCTACATTCGGGGGAGGTTCATTGACCTATGGCCACCATGCCATCAAACGTGATGTTTCAAACGGTTGACATAAATATCGTTCTAGAATAGATTTCCATCTAATTTACAACGGATTTTAAAATGCACATGATACATTTTTGACAATTTTTTATATAACATAGAGCGGTCCAATCTACAGTCGCATGAATTGTCGATGCTTCCTTGGAGTTCTGGTCGATACATGTACACAGAATCACCGACGGTTTCGTTACAGTTTGTTGATTTCTTTCTTTGAGAATTTCACGGCTACTTTGCGGATTTTCTAAGATTTCCCAATAAACGAATTATATTATTTGGGCAAGTAACGGGTAAATAAAAATAATCAAAAGCAATATCTAACAATGATCCCGGATAGCGTTCGTGTAAGAGAAAACAAGGTGTTTATTGATGCACGAACATTAAAAAAACGGGGTAAATCTTTCCCAATTGTTTTCGTCATCATCAATACGCTTAGCAATATAATTAACTACAGTTGACACCATTCGCTCTCTTTGACCGTTACACTGTTGATAAAATCTAGTTGTCTTTACATCTAAAATACGACAACTTTTGCAAACAATGTTCGATAGACAGTTTGTTCCGCTGTCAGTGTGTTTGGTTTTACAAATACCATGACGGTAAATTACATTTTTTTAAAAAGGCGTCTGCTTCAGACAAAGCGGCAATGTCTTTATCAAATTTAAAAATAGAGGTAAACTGACAACACTACGTGACAGAAAAACAGCACAAAAAAACGCAAGAACACCCAGCACAGAGAAACGCACACATAAATAATATAATAGTCGTTACAAGAAGTAAACTGTAGAATAACAAGAAACATCTGCCGTTAACGATAGCACAGATCATCACACACAGTGACCTATTTTTTTAACGAATATTTACTCTTGAAATACATTCAATTATACTGACCGACTTTAGAAACGCAACACTAGATTATTCTTTTTAGTTTCCATTTTCAAATATTCATTTTTTTATAAACAAACTTATGAACAGAAATTTCTTTCATTTCTTCATTGTTTAAAAAAAATAGGCAGTTCGAAAGTTGAATTTATTACGTCATTTTCAATGTTCAAATCATGTGATATACACTAAAATCCTGGCTTTATCCCTAACAATGAATGTGTCACCGTTAAAAACAATGAATGCCTGTAACAAACACCAAAATGATTGTCAGAACGGTCAACCAACTCTTATCGGTGGGTTTTTGGTTCTTTTTTGCACCGTCTGATTTTGCCGGTGTTCCATCCATTAGGGCTTTAAATGTTTTTATACAGTCGCTCCTTAGGCAATTCAGTTTATGAGAAACATTTATGGCATGAATCTGGTCGCAATGGCATTCGGCAATTTGATTAGCAGTTGACGTTGCGGCCGCAAACATGTCTCGCAAATGACGTTTCGTAATCAAGTTCTATTGACCTTGCATAGTCACTACTT